TTTATGTCTGCATACATTTGCCAAGTGCTGTTTGGAGCCGCATCTATAGCATGTACGTTGGGTTTTCTTTACCTCAGGTTTGGTCTTGGTATGTTGAAGTTTATTCACTGATGTAGTTTGGGAAGGTCCATACACTGTTTCCTTTGCATATTTGGCTGCATCCTCAACTTCTGCTGCTACTTGTATGGCTTTAGTAAATGATAGATCATCATCCTTTATTTTGAACAAAGCTTTTAGGACGGCCTCATTGTTGACAATGCACATAAAATTTGTTCGCAGTGCTTCATCCAATGGATCTTTTATTTTCATGAAATCGCATGTTGCAGCTTTCTGCCTTATTCTAGCAGCAAGTTCATTGACATGCTCGCCTGGTTTGCGTTTCATATTAGACCAGAACTTGAATCTCTCTCTGACGATGAACCGTTTAGGATCGAATTGAACCTTCATAAATTCTTCAATTTTGGTCAAATGTCAAAGTACTTGTTTCAATTGGAGGATTTTCCTGGGCAGCCAGGTTTGAAATTACCTTATAAATGTCCTTACTTTGGTTAGTCAGAAACACTTGGGCTTCCTTATCAGAAGGAACAGAATGCGCTTGTATGAATGTCTTAAATCTAGCCCAATAGTCAGTCCACAATTCAGTTGTAGGATCAAATGGTGTAAACTTGGGAGTTATGTTAGTAATAGGAGTAACGACCTGTTGCTGTTGAGACTGTGACTGTTTAAACGTAGTCATCAGTTCTAGCATTTGATCTCCCTGGGTTTTAAGTTGCGAGCGTAGTAACTCGTTTTGTTCCGCCATCATGGCAAGTAATTGTGTTTGCGTGTCCGGAGCAGTCATCCTCGTGAATATGGTACGGTATAGCGTGCACGGTAACTATGTAGAATCAGGTAGGTAGCCTAAGCCCTGGGCTTAGCGAAAAATCTTCGAACAGTACTCACGTTAAATGATGAAAATAAACGTCCTCGTCGCCACTGTTATGTTCTTGGAAGGTTTTAGAACAATAAATAAATAACACACATAGGTTTTAAACTCAAACAACACAAACAAAAACACAGCAAACTTTCTGTATTGTAAGATGGTCGTCAACGACAATGCACCGATAGGTGGCGCACTAACAGTTAACTTAATTCTCAGTGCACAACAGAAAAGAAGGACAATGGGTTGGAGTTAAGGCATCATGCAGTTTTCCATTTAATTACACACGGTTTGTTGAGTACAGTATAACATGACAGGCTATGAACTGTAGAGTACATCTAAATCTAAACATGATGGTTCGGCTGTACACTACTCATTCTACTGTGTGAAGGAGGTTTAGGGTACAAAACGAAAGAGCATCACATTTAAGTACTGTATAAGTGCATTGGTAACGTAGTGCACGATATTTATGCATGATTTTACTGGAGTTACTGGTATAATGCGACAATGAGAAAGGCATAATAGTGCTACAATCAATTCTCTTATGTTCAAAACTAGAGACACACAACAAATACTTTTCAAGGAAATAGCTTTAGACGAGACCTAATCAAAAAATGGGTTATTAAATTAAAAGAGACAAATTTTTAAAAAGAATAAAAAAATATAGTAATGCTAGTAAAAGTTAAAAAAAAACATTAGCGTCAAACCTGCAAACAGTCTTAAAGATTCATTGTAAGTACCACCCAAACAAAAAGAGGGAGTGGGCATTTTGTATTTGGCATTCATTCAACAACATGTAGTAGACATTTTGTTGGATGAATGCAAAAAATCAAAGTGGTCCTCTCCTCCTTGGTGGAAGAGGGAGGGGTGCAGTCTGGATTTATTATCAATCAAACAAAAATGCTTTTATAGTATGGAATAGAATGCTCATGCAAGGAAAAAGCATGCAATACATATTTGGAATCCAATGTTCAATATTAAATCACTGATTTATTAAAGTCAATTGGAAATTATGATTTTACCATCCAATAAATCATTATGCTAAATGAAATAATAGTGCAGGACACACAGAAATTATTCCCTACTATATTAGCTTTTTTACTGCATTAAATTTTATAAAATAAAATGATTCACATTAAGTCATGCAAATGATGAAACAATATAGAACATTGGGATTTCTAAAGATAACAAAAGATGTTTCCTTCAAATTGTTGACACCTCTCACCTATTCGAAAGAGTGTAGCATTTCTCTCGATACCTTCCGCAAAGTCTTATGAAACATACACAAAGCATTTGATTATTCATTAATGATTTTGTTACAATTATAAGAGGAATTTTTGGCATTTATTTACAGGCATATGAAGTATTTAGGTTTCTGATACACATAGTTTAATCGTCAACATTCAAATGTAAGCAACTCGTGGTTATTTAATTTGTAACATAAAATAAATGCAAGAAATTGATAAAGCACGAGTTCTGTTAAATACAGTTACATTTTATGATATATATTACAAGAGATGGCAGTATAACCAAAAGTAATATAAAGCAAGCAAAGTTTTAAGCAATTACTTGTTATCAGATATAAATTAATTGTTAGAATTGATACATAATTAAAATAACACAGGATTTTTTCACAGCCACATAACAAATAATTTAAAAGCTTACCTCCATACAGTTTATCTAGTTCGGGAGCATATTCATCATCAGCATTCAATGTAAAATAGGGAGCATCTGACTCAACGATATAGAAACCATAGGGCTCAACTAACACAATCGCAAAACTAGAATAATAATAAAAATAATACTAATAATAATAACAATAATACCATAATTAAATATTTTATTATATAATATTTACAATTTTTTTTAAATGGAGGCAGGAGGCCCATCACGATTTCTGGGATACAAGTTGCGGCTGACTTGGGACCCCTGCACTTATACAACATGTCTTAAAGTGGTTCACATTACCATAATCACTAGATAGGCCTACACAGTGTCTCCTCTGCAACCTGGGGAATATTTCTAGTCCTACAGTATATGGCTACTTTGTATACATCAGCATTCAACATAAAAACAGGAATATATATTTATACCTGGGTGGATAAAAAAACATAGTTCTTGTACCCAGGCAGGATTTCAAAAGGGGGTTTTCATTTTTCCACACACACCTCAACCTCAGGGGTAAGACTTTGGTATATGAAATCTGTAAATGGCATTCCAATATGTTAAAAAATACCAAATTTAAAATGTTCGAAGTTGCTTTCGACAACTTGACTACAAAAGGCACTTTTTACTAATAACTCCTCCAACCGTGGCTTCAGGCTTTCTTGAACAAGCTTGAGAACCTAAATCACAACTGTTTAAGCAACAACTAACTTGTGAAATCTGTACTGGCAAATTTTAAATAATGCTTTTTGCTAATTTTGCATCCAATGTTATGCATGATTAGGAAATAGAACCATCATCAGTGTGTAAATACCTGAATGGAGTGTCATCTAGAAAGGTGTAGAAGTAGGTATTGTTCCTCACTGATACACGAGTCTGTAAAAAATTTGAAAAATAACAGTAAAGTAAAGCTGGTAGTAGCCCGACTCAATTAAACATTGATACCTAATTTCAGACAGAGATGAGGATATTCAAAATTTCATGTTTTTGCAAGAAAATCAGCATTTTCAATTCTTAGGTTTCTCTAACACCTCATAGACTGTCAGCCAACTGATCAACCAACCCCCCCCCCCACTCCCTGTGAGCACCTCACGCCATGATGATGTCTAATAGTGGTAGCCTTAGTGGAATGTTGCGTGCGCCTCGACACGCTCTGCATGGAATCGCCTTTGCTGACAACCATCTGCACAGCATGGCCTAGATTCAGTCAACACCTTTGACAGAGAGGACAGGAAAAACAAGCAGTAAAAATAAAGGATATAATAAATGAATTATGATTTCTTACAAGATTTGACGTATGCATCACTACTTGAATCGTCATTTCACCAGTCTCTGTATTGATCATGGCATTTCGGATCTTTAAAGAAATGTATTAAAAGAAGATTTAAGTAAAATATTTCAAAGGGTGAAATACATAATTTCTAACCACCAATCAATGTAGTTGATTAAAGGTACACTGTGATTACAGTTGGATTTATAAAGTGCATACCTAGTGTAACAGACAATTCAGAAAAAAAGAGAGTTATACAGTACTACAAAACTTGTCTACACTACAATTTAATTTACACAATAACACATTTCAAGTAATATCTCCTCAAGTGAATACATATATTCTACAATTTTTAAAAACATATTATATTCAAAGACCTATCTATTTCTAGAAAAAATTTTATTCATAATACTGTAACCATGACAATCTCTCATGTACATATAACTTTTAATTTTTTTTAAAATTAAAAAATTAATTCCCATGAACATTTAACTAGTACTGTACTCTTGTATTTTTTGTGAACATTTAATAAAAAATGTCTAAAACAACATTTGCAGAATTCATATGCTGAATAATGTAGAAGATGCCAAATATCTATTGACATTCCATTTGATCATTAACTCAATATTTCAACTACCTTCTTCACCATTTGTCAAAATATTTTAAGTAAAAAAAAATAAAACTTTCTCAGCTTAGGTATCCACATATATTTTGTAAAATTAAATTAGTTGAATATTTTAGGAATACATATTTTCCATGAAGTGAGATTTTTTCTTTACCATGCCATGCAAATGAAACATAAAAAACACCACAGTCTAGAAAAAAATACACTAAAATGAAGTATAAATGATCGGTAAATGATAGAATATACCTCTTATACACATCTCCCCTGCACTTATACAACATGTCTT